TGAATTGATCCTTGAAACAACTACCTTCAGAAATCTTGTTCACAACTTGAGCGAGGTGAGAGAACTTGTGCTTAGTGGAGTGAACATGACATCTGTTAATCCTCATTTCTTCATGAATCTCTCTTCTTCATTGACTACTCTTGATCTCTCGGAGAGTGCATTAAGAGGAAACTTTCCAAAGAGTATTTTCCGCTTTCCAAATCTCAAGAATTTTTATTTAAGTGGAAACTGGAACCTCACTATTGATCTTCCAAGTTCCAATTGGAGCAGTCCTCTCCAACGGTTGTATTTAGGTGACATGGATTGCGGAAGGCGATTGCGAGAGTCTATAGGAGATCTAAAGTCATTACAGTATCTGTTTCTTCACTGCAACTTTGAAGGTTCCATTCCAGCTTCCATAGGGAACTTATCTCAACTTACTCTCCTAGCCCTCTATTCTAACAATCTTAGCGGACAAATCCCATCATCACTTGCAAACCTCACCCAACTTACCTATCTTGAAATTTCCAATAATCAGCTTTCTGGTCCCATTCCAGCTTCCATAGGTAACTTAAGGCAACTCACTGGGCTATACCTCATTTCTAACAATCTTAGTGGACAAATCCCATCATCACTTGCAAACCTCACCCAACTTAGTAGCCTATGCCTCTCTTCTAACAATCTTAGCGGACAAATCCCATCATCACTGGCAAACCTCACCCAACTTACCTCTCTTGACCTTTCTTATAACTTACTTAATGGCACATTGCCACCTTGGATTTTCACCCTACCTTTGTTAGAGTACTTGTATCTCATTCATAACCAATTTCAAGGTCAAATAAATCAATTCCAGCAAAACTCACTCATATGTCTAGATTTTTCAAACAATAGATTCCAGGGCTCAATTCCTAACTCAATTGCTAATTTAGTAAATCTTAGTTATCTCAATTTATCATCAAATCGTTTTACTGATTTTGTAGTGCCTGACATGTTCTCGGCGCTTCAAAATCTTGCAATTCTTGACCTTTCTCATAACAACTTAACTGGGAAGATTCCAAATTGTCTTCCTAAGTCTCTCTCAGTGTTGAATTTGCAGGCCAATTACTTTGATGGAAATATACCATTTGGGTTTCCAGAGGGCTGTGGATTACGAAATCTCAACTTACATGGAAATCAAATGGACGGCTTATTACCAAGGTCTTTGGTGAATTGTAGCATGTTAGAGGTTCTAGACATTGGCAACAACAACATAAGTGATACATTCCCTCATTGGTTGGAATCTCTACCAGACCTTCAAGTGCTTGTCTTAAGGTCCAACAAGTTCCATGGTTCTGTGCAGAGCACCAAAGAAAGTCCATCTTTTCTCAGGTTACGAGTTCTGGACCTCTCCAACAACTATTTTGTTGGTGCTTTGCCTGTTCGGTACATTGAAAATTTTAATGCGATGATGGACCCTCATAAAGATGGTGGTTCCCCTGAATACATGATGATGCCGACGGCAACCAATTCTTATCAATATTCACTGGTTGTGACATGGAAGGGATTCGACTATGAGCTGCAGAGAATCTTGACCGTATTCAGTAGTATTCATCTCTCAAATAACATGTTTGAGGGAGAAATTCCGGATGTTATTGGAAAGCTTAGTTCTCTCAAAGGGCTTAATCTTTCTCATAACAACCTTACTGGTCATATCCCACCGTCACTAGGGAATTTGACGAATCTGGAATGGTTGGATCTCTCTTCCAACGAGCTGACGGGGAAAATTCCTGATGCATTGGTATCTTTGACACAACTCTCTGTATTGAATCTTGCAAATAATCATCTTGTCGGGCGCATACCACAGGGCAGTCAGTTCAACACCTTTGGAAATGGTTCTTATGAAGGAAACCT